GCTTCTCTCTAACTGCGATTCTAAGTTAACTGACATCCTTTGTTAAAACACATTGCTTGTCCACGAAATGTCGCAGAAATTTCGATAGCAATAGAAGATTTTTGATTCTCTAGGACAATATTGAGCTCTTACGAAATCTAAAAACAAGACACAAAAAGGAAAAAGCAAGTGTTTAACTAGTTTTTTGGAAGCCTTCGACGCGGTTTTATACTATTTTGGTTAAAATCGTATTGCGTTTGAAAATATTGATAAAGGAAATCTTTCGTGTGCGCCTTAAATAAAGATTTCCTCAAAATCATGGGCTTTGAGAAAAGCAAGAAAAACCGATTTATCTTCATAAAGCCTAAGACATACTTCACGCGATTCTGCGCTGCGTCCACGCGACTTGACGATTTGTCAGATGCACAGACTGACCGTAGACGAATTTGCATGGGCGCATAGTTTTCTTTCGCAAGTTGTCACAAAACCCTCAAGTATGACACAACTAAGGCGGTGTTTGCGTCTGATTATGAAGAGACGTTGCAGTGCCAGATTGACTAGAGTCGCATGAAGTATGCCTTGCCACACCTCACACGATTGAAGTCGCGACACGATGTGCCAATATACCAGCCAGCATGCCTTCAAATGCTACAGTAGACCGCAAATAAATAGTCTTTACAACTTTTGTAGATTGATAAAATGTCTTATCATCTGCACATTAGGGACTTGCGCAAGATGAACTGTGGACAAATGGAATGTTGCCTAATTACGTTACGACTGAAATCGCGTAAGGATGGTCAAGGCTTCAGGCCTAAGGCGCGCAACAGCATTTGAGAACAGTTGTTTTGACTGAAAATGCGTCAAGTTCCCGTTTTCCTTGCAGTTTTGATAGTTTTGTAACAAAGCATAGAAGCATTTGTTGAACAGCTTTTTTATAAGAAAACGGAGGCGAGATAACTCAGTCACTTATGCGTGAATTTGAATAATAGAGTCGCTTACTGTATAAATACTCGTCGTTGATCACTGCTGCAGCAACTTTACAAATCTTGCGCTGATTCAATGAGGCAATAGTCTTCAATCAGAATTCCTCCAATACATGTGGAAAATGCAGTCAGCGGGCTATACATATAGTAGCACTACTGGTGGCTTCAGCAGGGCGAGTGGAGTGAATGATTAAAATTGTGGAGTTAGATGGCCGATGACAGCTTTCTCGCTAAAGTGAATAGGCAGTGTTTAAGTTGAGTAGAATAAATTTAGAGAAATTGGCCAGCAACAATGTGTCGTCCACATCATCTGTGTTTCACTCTTAGCGTACGTCGCCTTAATCAATATAGATAGTTACACCATCATTGAGGTTTTAGCTGATTTTGTGTATTAGAGCTGCTTATGGCTCTGTGATGATTGTAAGCTCAACCCTGCTGTTAGGTATAAGTTGAGAATAATACCCAGGGTAAAGGGGGGGGGGGTGCGGCACGCGACCGTCGGATACGACCCTCCCCCCCCCCTTGGGCCGGACCGAGCTATTTTTTTCAGCCACAAGATTCGCCTTAGACTGTGAAGGACGTTGAGCTTGTGCCGCATTATGTAAATCAATCAAGCTTCTAATGTTTGTACTATACGAGTAGAAACTGTTCTCTTTGACCGATTCGCATGTTAAACAAATTTATTGTTATTCGATGTGTTTTCCTTCATACAAAAAAAAACTTCAAGAGTCCATTTGAGATCAATATACATGTAAGCTAAATAATGACAACAACGAAAACACAGATAAAATTACCGTACTGAACAAAATTACGCTCACCGGACACAGCTTAAGTCATGCAACAATACCGAAAGATGTAAAACTGAGAAGGTAGTCAGAATATTGAGCATTACTCCTGTGCTTCATAGTCTCTTCGAACACTGAAATACTTCTCCCGGTTCTCTTCGACAAATGAGACGAAATCCGATGACATCACTTTCAGAGCCTGAAATTCACAACTTTAAACAAAGATAATATGGTTATCACTCAGACGTACCAAGATGTTCCCTAAGTCCGCGGGTAAATTTGCCAATTTTGCGGCAAAGCAATTAAATAACCTCAAAAGATGCGGTAATCCATAAACAGAAGTGAGCCTGATGGGTACACTATCATCTGGTAACAATGTTGAACCTAAAAAAATTTTCATATGGAATCATGTCGGCTACTCTCCAGGAAACACTCACCAAAATACGGACGCCTACGTGATCCGTCATCTCCATTGAGATCTGTAAGCCGGAAGACGTAAAAGTTCAGACTGGTACTGATCTCTCTCGGGCTGATACAGTAATAAATTCCTGTAAAGGCGAAATTATAAGCTTAAGACCTCATAGCATAGGAACGTTGAGGATCAAAAGATAGAAGTCGAAATATTCTGAAGTATTGTACTCACACGTGATACGAGAACCAATGGAACTTTCAAAGACTCAATGCAAAGTTCGGAAAACATAAGTGATGAAAAACCCACCCGAGAATCATGTTGAAGTAATCAGTAATCATTTGACAGGATCGTATGAGTGCAGTCACACGACTAGAGCTGATTTCATCTCCTTGGGAAACTGTTAATTTGTCTCCAGCCCACTCAAGCTCCATGTCGAAAGTAGAGAGAAACTACAAAAAGTTACTACCTCAGTAGCATAAATGACCCAATATTAAAATGCCTGGAATCATGCTTCGTGGAGGATCATGTCTTATTGACGTGATCCTCCACGAATAGGATATACAGCTGGTAGTTTAGCCAAAAGAGTCGCTGCAAAACATCATCCTGATCTTTCTTGAGTATCTCACGAAGGGATTTTGGCAGATTTGCATAATGCTGCAACGAAATTCAGGGTAAGAAAAGTATTAGGTAAGGATATAATTAAGGTAACTTACAAACTCCACAGATTTGGCGCCTTTTGATAGGCTGGAAACGGTAACTTTGGGAGATCTGACTACAGATCTTACATATTTGTTACGAAAAGACATCATGTTACACTTATTTACACGGCGAGGAGTCACAGCAGGACTGGCGGAAGCAACACTTTCTCTTGAGACAGCATCCTAGAGTATGACTCGCTATGAACATACTTTCTCATCAGTTGAAACGTAAAGATCCAAAAAGATATAAAATTCATGGTATGATCCAACATAATTAGTATACACTATTAGAATAAGCAACTTACAGCGTTCGCTTTGGAAGACTTCCGTTTCTTTACAACTTTCGCGCTCTCTAGTTCAGCCTAAAAACGTTTTTCATGCAGAACAATAGATCACCCAGTTAAAACAGATAAACAGAATGCTTATATAAAGAGATAAAAATTTCTATGGCTACATTGTACTGGAAGGCATCCAAATTATTTAGTTTGCCGCCTTTCTGCATCGTTTACGCATTAACGCAGAAAGGCGGCAAGATGAATTTGCGTGCTACCGTAATCCGATATTTTGGAAGCCGCACGATAGATGGTAGTTAGTAGTAGAAGCGCTACATCTCAGCTCTGCGGGAAAGTTTTGGATGAAAATCGTACTATAGAGAGAAGAAGGTTGAGCGGTAGCAACGACATTAAAATCGTAGACATTCAACGGCTTTAAGGGTAAGTTAATGGGGTGCGGCAGCCGCAGCTTTTGAGGGGGGGGGGGGAGTGCCGCGCCCCATTAACTATATCAAAAAGACATTTTTAGTAAACATTATTTATACGAATCGGTAGTCTAAACCTCATAGATTCCATAGGAATGTTTTGAGCCTGATTCGTCTTCTTAGCTCTGAGTAATATTTGGTGAAAGCACAACCATTGAAAGCGAAGAATGGGAAAAATGAGAATTTGGTTGGCTTCTAATTCCACAGTTTGGAGGTGATGGATGTTGTCTTTCAGAAGCATCCAGGAGTGGTTTGAATCACTTTGCAGTATCGGCAGGGCAGATTCCATTGACGTTCTGGTTTGGGCGTTGTCTTCAAGCTTCCACCATTTGATGTGTACTTCTTGTTCTGTCATCGCCCTTCTTCTCCTGTCGACTGGGATATTGAGATCCAGTATCAGCGGCCGATGTTGTGGCACGCATTCTTCACCTGGGATGACTTTGCTATCCTTTACATATTTGAGCTCGCTGTACCGTACGCTCCAGAAGTCTATCTGCAATTTGTGGTCTCCGCTGGCATACTTGACGAGGTGGTTGGTTTTCTTGATGAAGTACGTATTCGCCAAGGCTAGGTCGTGGGCTGTAGCGAACTCTAGAATACGTTCTCCTTCGTCGTTACGTGTCCCGTAACCGTGATTTCCATGGCACTTCTGTAGACCACTTCGTTGTTCTCCGACATGCCCATTGAGATCCGCACCGATCAGTAACATCTCTTCTTTTGGTATTGAACCGACGTAGTCATCAAGCAACTGCCAGAATTCTTCCTTCTCCGATTCTTCACATCCCACTTGCGGTGCGTAGGCCGTCACTACTCGAAGCACTTTTTCCCCGGTATCCAATCTTATACTCATGAGACGGTCACTCATTCTATCTACACTGGTAATCTTATCTCTTAGGCACGCGCCATACTTGATCCGCTTAATCCACTTGATCCGCTTGATCCGCTTCACCATTGGTCAGTTCACTGACTTGACCAATGACGAAGCGGATCAAGCGGATCAAGTGGATTAAGCGGACTAAGTATGGCGGGTGCCTTAGAGCTTCAATAACGACTATGCCGACACCGTTTCTGTTGTTCGTCATTTCTTTGTACAGAAGTTTGTAGCCATCTCCGATGTTACGCGCCCTTTTACCTTTCCATTTGGTCTCCTGAATACATGCGATGTCTACTTTTCGTCTTCTGAAAAGATCGGCCAGATCGCGGTGTCGAGCTGTGAGTGAACCGACGTTGATAGTAGCTAGACGTAATGCCGAGAACTTGGATGTTTTCCTGTGATGAGCTAGCTTCTTTAGCCGTCCCCGCTCATCTTGAGACGTCCACATTCGTCGGGCTCGAATGTGCGTCGCCTCCGGGGAACGCCCTAGCTTTGACTCGAAGTATACTACAGTGCTGGCCAAAATTATAGGTCCACTTTAAAAAATGCCATAACTCACTCTGTTGTGAATGAAATTTTCCAAAATTTGGTAGAGACGTGTGTTTACCAGCCTACCATCAGTCTTCAAAACGGTTCTCGTTTTCATTTGATTATTCAAGAAAAAATTAGAAATTTTGAAAAAAAGCAGGCTTGAAGGCCGGCCAAAATTATAGGTCCACATGGAGTTTTTACTGATTAAAACACTTCTTAGCTCCCGATTTTTTTAGGCACACATCCAAAAACGTAAAACAGCTGCATTGGTCAAGCTGTGTCATACCTCCAAAAAGAACTGATTATCTGCTTTTTTGCGTTGAAGATGCACTCACATGTATTTCGCTCCACAAACCTGCGTTGAGTAAGAAATTCTGCAGTTTCTCAGCTGGATCGGAAGGGACGGGGTTTCATCTATCTTCTGGATGCTTTTTGACGTGAGCATTGAGGGAAAAACCCGACATTTGCTGCTGAAGCAAATCTGACATTGGCTTAATCGGCAGAGTAAGCCTCAGTTTCTGCCCTAAAACCCTTTATGCATTGTCATTATAACCTCAAGATATTGTGGAAGCATTTTTTACACAAGAATAAAGCTGTTCGCCATACTCGCAAGTGTCCACAAAGCTGCCTTGCTTCTTTTTCGAAACATGAGTTGTGTGTGCAACGTAATAATGGTGTTACGCGATCCAAAATAGCTTTCCAAGTGCTACCTCACTTAGATTTTTGACACTAATTATTTACTAGGTAGTGGATACAGCTTGTAGTGTATGTTAGCACATGATTCTTCTGAAAATTTTGGTCAAAGCCACAGCCGCTTTGGTGCTTGTCGTAATCAGTTTCTGCAGAGTGATTTCAGTAATTATACTCGAATGCTAGGATCTCTAAAAAGTTGTAACTATAGAATACGGACACCCCTTCATAGAAACAATGCTTTTACTTTACTCAATGCTTCTGAGAACATTGTAAAAGATGTTTGAAGGCAGAAATTTAAGCTCAGAATTGCAGTACTGTCAATGTCAGACTTGCTTCAGCAGCAAAAAGTCGGGTTTTTTCCTCAATGCTCACGTCAAAAAGCATCCAGAAGATAGATGAAACCCCGTCCCTTCCGATCCAGCTGAGAAACTGCAGAATTTCTTACTCAACGCAGGTTTGTGGAGCGAAATACATGTGAGTGCATCTTCAAAGCAAAAAAGCAGATAATCAGTTCTTTTTGGAGGTATGACACAGCTTGACCAATGCAGCTGTTTTACGTTTTTGGATGTGTGCCTACCTAAAAAAATTCGGGAGCTAAGAAGTGTTTTAATCAGTAAAAACTCCAGGTGGACCTATAATTTTGGCCGGCCTTCAAGCCTGCTTTTTTCAAAATTTCTAATTTTTTCTTGAATAATCAAATGAAAACGAGAACCGTTTCGAAGACTGATAGTAGGCTGGTAAACACACGTCTCTACCAAATTTTGGAAAATTTCATTCACAACAGAGTGAGTTATGGCATTTTTTAGAGTGGACCTATAATTTTGGCCAGCACTGTATGAGACATAAAAGAGCATCTGATGCGACGAGGTTTCTTCTTTAGCCGGCTTGTCGCTTGCTTCCTCTGTGGATGAGCAGCCTGATGCTGGATTCGTGAAGCAAGAGCTTTGCCAAAGAAATTAGGCCCGCCGCGGAACCGAACCTGCGACCTTCCTCGCCGTGGTCAAGGGCACTAAACTCTCGGCCAGCTCTGCCCCATCAGTGGAAGAACCGTCCTTCTCTAAAAAGGGCGAAGGAGGAGGATCTTTGGGATACCGTCCAATATGCCTGCTAATGTTTGCACAAGTTCCAGGAATATTATCGTCTGTTGCATATTTAGGACACTGGATGTAGCCGACAAGAACATGCTGAAATTCGCAAAGGGTTCGGCTGCCTGAATCGCTTCCAGACGGCTTCGGGGGTCATAAAAGTCTGCCGGATACCGACTGCCTCTCGTCCTAACCATCGCCGATAGCGAGAAATTCTTTAGCGTGGAAATCAGTGCCATTATGAGTGCTAGTCGATCAAAGAGTACACCCAGCGTGAACGCTAGCCGACTGGTACAAAGACTGTACAACAACGATGCAGTTATTCCATCGCCTCAACTATCCCATTTGGGAAGTGAGTCCTACAAGGCAACACAATTTCGCCGTAGATGTTCACTGCCTCCTTACAGTGGGTGGTGAGGTAAATGTACTAAGAGAGGCATACGAGTTGATAGAAGATGTCTGTCGAACCTTCGTTTTGCGGACGACATCGTATTCCGGCGCTTTGTTACGCAACTGAGACTTGGGCCGACACTGCACCCGCGTCAAAAGCTTTGCGGACCACCCACGGAGCGAGCACAGTTTTCTAAAGATGACCCGACAAACAACACTTTTGGACTTCGCAGTACGGATAGGAGAGGAATGTCCTGTCTTCGTGACCCAGCGGAATACGTTGCAAAAGCTAAACACCGATGGGCCGGTCACATTATGAGAGGAACAGACGACAGGTGGACACTAAAAACATCTAAATAGATTCCTTGCGAAGCCAAACGTCTTGAGGAAGACCGCTAATGAA